TCTGGTCTTTTGCGGCAGGCCCGCAGTTCTCGCTGAGAGACCTTCTCCCTTGCCGCCCTAGGCGGATAACGTGGGGGAAGTACATGAACTGTGGGCAAACCTGCATTGCCCCCGACTACATCCTTTGTGCTGGGCCGCGTCTGTCTGTGCTCGCTCAACGTCCTGCTGTTCTGTTTTCCCCAGCACCGACTATCCTCACTGATGTTTCCCCGGAGTCCAAGGTGATGGAGGAGGAAATCTTTGGACCCGTCCTTCCCATTGTGACGGTGAAGAGCGTGGACGAGGCCATTGAGTTCATCAACCGTCGGGAGAAGCCGCTCGCGCTGTACGTCTTCTCCAACAACAAGAAGGTGGGTCTGGGCTCTGCTGCCCCGCTGCAGCAGCTCTGCGTGCTTGGATGCTGGGTGTGGCTGGTCGCGGGCACGGCTCCCCGCTGCGCCCGTGTTGGCCCCTGTTTGTATCTGAATCCAGGTGTTTGGCTCCTGTGGGCCCCGAGTGTTCCCCAAGCTGCCGGAGGCTCCCGGGCCCCCGCTGAAGGGCTCTGGGTTTGCACCATGTTGTGTAACAGAAGGATGAACATGGTTCCTGTTTAGTACCATGTAACCTTTCATGTTTAATTCAGTTACATGTAAAATCTAGCTAAGGAGGAGAGCTCCTGGCTTTCCAGCTTTCCCATCCTTCCTCTGAACTTTACCTCTTGCCTCGAGTTACATTGCAAAGAGAGGGCTTGTCTGAGCTGACAGCAGCTGGAAGTTACTATGGTGGCCCTGTGGCTCGTAGCCTCCCTTCCAGTCCCACTTAGTTACATGGCGTGGACTCTTTAGGCCTTTTTAATGTATTTCTTTTCTTACTAGTTAATCAAAAGAGTAATCTCGGAAACCACTAGTGGAGGAGTTACTGCAAACGATGTCATCATGCACTACTTCCTCTCAACCTTGCCTTTTGGTGGTGTTGGTGAGTTATTAGAGCTCCTTAAACATTTATGACTTGCTGTATGTTGTGACACAGGGTGCAGCAGTGGTTGGTTTGTGTTCCACATGCTCCTGTGCCTGTTACAGCTGAAAGGTCTATACAGCAGACCTCAATAATAACTAGAAAAAATTCTGCAAGTGCATTAGGAGAGAGGCCAAAGGAGGGGAAGTTTTTGGTGTGTGTATTTAGTGCAGTCTGATGTGAAAGGTGCTTTAAAAATGTTAGCTGTGACCAAGGTGATTAGCACTAATTGCGGGAAGAGGGATAGGACTTCAGCTGTGAGGAGAATAGGAAGAGGCTGTGGAACAGCACATAGAAGCTTTGCAAAGAGGATTTGGATGTTAGAGTTCACAAGCTGAATGCAAACCTGCAGTGTTCTGCTGCTGTGAACAGGCGTGTGCTGTGCTGGGACAGAGGAAGAGGGCTCCCTTCCCTTTCCTGAGGACTCCCTGCAAGAGTCCTCAGGAAACCCTTCTTACTCAGCATCAGTCAGATCTCAGAGCCTTGGTGTGGTGGTTTGGAGGAGAGCCAGAGAAGGCTCAGAGGCCTAAGGAACAGCGCCCACAGGGACGCATCGAAATACTGGAGGTTGCTTAGTCAGAAGGGTGTGGAAGAAGAGGGGTGGAGGATGCACGGACATCTTTAAGACTATGAGAAGTTCTGTAGAAGGGAAGGACCTGTTGTCCCCCCTGCAGGAATACAGAAGAGAAGTGCTTTTAAACTGCAGCAAGGAAGATGCAGGGTAGATGACATGCAGTGCAGATGGAAAGCAATTAAAACTTACCTGTGCTTCTGCCTGCCCTGCTGGTGGCCTCAAGCAGCCAAAGGCCAGCCGAGCCCGTGACGTGACCTGTTGGGGTTGTGTGTCTCAGGTAACAGCGGGATGGGTGCCTACCATGGCCGGCACAGCTTTGAGACCTTCTCCCACCGCCGAGCCTGCTTGATCAAGGACTTGAAGATGGAGGGGGCCAACAAACTCCGGTACCCGCCTAGCAGCCAGAAGAAGGTGGACTGGGCCAAGTTCTTCATCCTGAAGCGATTTAACAAGGGCCGAGTGGGACTGGTCATCTTGGCGCTGCTGGGGGTCGTGGCAGCTGTGGTGATAAAGGTGAGCCTTGGCTCTCGGCTTTCTACATGAGTGTGTTCGATCCACTTTATCTTCTGTGACTTCCTTCTTTGCAACTGCAGCTTTTTCCTAAAGCCTAGCTAGCCTATTTTCTCTGTCTTGGCACTTACAAAATTTGGCTCATCAGAAATTTCCAAGGCTTGTTTCTTATTCTTGCAAGTGGTATCTAGAATACAGATGTCCTCAGAGAAATTTCCTAGGCTGCTATACCATTTGTTGCTCTGCCTTGGGTGACGCCTGTGAGGAACTCCCTGCAGTAGTGGAGGCTGTGACATTTTGGATGGCTTTGCCCGCGGTGATATGAGCCGCTCGACTGCCTTGCGCGGCAGGCTGGAGTTTTGTGCTGCAGGACCCTGTGGAAAGGTCGCTGTGACTTGAAGCCTAGGCCTAGGTCCTGTTCCTTGCCCAGTTGCAGCCCCCATCTGACCTTGGCTATTTCTGTTTCCCCCTCTGTTTCCAGCAGGGGAAGGTGGAAGGGTGGGATGTCCTTTTCCCTCCATAGAAGGCAGAGGCCTGCTGGCTTTGGCTGGACTCAAGGTGCCTCTAGAGATGGAGGAAAAAGATCTAAAACTGCAAGTGTGACTTGCTCTTGGTTCTCTGTGACATAGCAGACGAGGCAGTAGCAGGCACTCCTTACACAGCTCAACTGTGCATCCTTCTTGTGCACCCTGCCCTGGTGATTTAGTAGACCTAAGGGAGCAGCTGCTGAGGAAGCAGGAGATTGCAGGGTGGATCAGGCCTCTCTGCCCTCCCGTCGGTTCTGTGCTGTTAACTGCTGCGAAGGGAAATGCAGGAGCCCAGCGAGTGTGGGGGGAAATAATCCTCCATACCATTCATACTTGAGACCAGGAGGAGGCGTAAGAGCTAACAGTTGGCTCGCCCTGAAGCGCCAGCAGAGAAGCAGGCCCTGTCTTGATGAATGCTGCCTCAGTGAAGGGGGGAAACTCACAACGTCTTGAAATCGTTTGGGTTTTCTCAGAATCACCAGTCTGTGCTGAAGAGAAAAGCCCTCTTGATTTTGCTGGCTGTTCAGAGGCTGGGCTGGCTCAGTATGTATTGAGAAGCAGGTTTCAGAGCACTGCTGTTGCTGTTACAGTGAGGTAGGAGTCTTTCTTTTTCACTGTATGCAGACTTGGTTTGAGACTGGGCAAAGCTTTGTTAGAGCAGTGAATCTGGGGCTTGGAGAAAGTTCCCCCAGGAGTCAGAAAACAATATTTTCCCTGGCATGCCGTGTTTGGAGCTCCCTCAGTGTCTAAGATAACCAGCAGTAAGTGCATGATGAGGGGATAGGGGCAGGCAAGCTGGGCCAGGCAGCACCCTGGGGAAGTCGAAGGGAGCAAAGGGCTTTGCTTCAGGCTGTTCTAGAAAGGGGATTGGTTTCATTTCGGCAAATCCTTCATAGGATGTTGGTGTTGCTGTGTTTTGCTTTCACAGATGGTTTACTACTGAAGAAAGGAGAAGGCGCCATAATCAGCGTGCCATAATCATATCTTCCCTACAGTTACTAGGATGTCCGGCTTCGGTTGTGCTCGTAACAGCTACCCTCTGCTGACTAGTCTGAGGCAGAGTGTGCTCCTAGTGTGCTGGCTAATAGTTTTTATCAATAGTGATGATGATTAATAAACCCAATGAGGTTCCCACCTTGCTTTCTAATCAAGGTGAAGTATCCGTGGATCCCTTAGAGCAAGAATAGCACAGCTGGTTAGAGGATGCAAGCTGACATCCCTCTTTGGGATCCGAGTTTCATGACATGCCTATAAGGATTGTTTGGCTTTTAAAAAATTACAAAGAAGATACTTGCACCACATCTGTCTTGCTAATAAGACTATGCTGTGCTTGCACAAAACAACTTCCAGGCCTGTTTAGAGAACTGGAAATGACAACCCATTCCAGACTCCTCCAAGGAAAAACGATTAGAGAAACAGCGTGTATTCCTTGGTGTTTGAGCCTCTGGGTTTGCTGTAATCTTGCACTGGAAATAATGTGGGAACCGTTCTAGCTTGGGAAGAGGATGCTGGAGAAATTTAAGGCTTGATACTAAAAGAAGGAAAAATAAAAAATAGTGTATAAAGGCAATTCTCAACAATATATAGTGGAAAATTATATCTACTGTGCAATAGATGGGATTTTATGTCCTGTGAAAATCTATGTGCTAAGCTTTTATAATAATATATTTTACAAGTACTAAATAAACACTGAGAATTATATAATAAAGCAAGCCTCTTGATTAAGTCACTGCAATCCCCTGGGGAATCCTGCCTGACCTCTGCTGCTCCTGGCTCTGGCTGTGGCTTGGACAAGTGTTGTGTGCGTGTTGCAGGGTGACAGGCTAAGATGATGCGTCCTCTGCCACCAGCGCAGGGGTGCAGACCTGCAGCACAGAGCTCCCCCTGCTTCGGGGGAAAGAGGAGATCAGTCGCTCTTAGGAAGATGCTGTGCTCATGGCAGCTTGGAGGAATCCTCTAATAAATGCCTCCCACCTGCAGTGGCTGCTGGGTTGGAGGTGGTTCTCATCGGGACAGTAGCCCAGGCTCAGTTCCTTGACTGCCAGTGGCTCCTGCAGCGTGTGAAAACTCCACTGGCCACGTGCACTCGGTCTGGGCAGAGCAACACGCTTTCACAACTGCGCGCGGGCCTCTGAGTCACGGCCACAGCTGCAGTGCAGTGATCCCAGGCATGGCTGGTCTTCCTGGGACACACACAACTGTCCTGGTGTCCTTGAGGGTAAACAGTGAGCACTGGTGGGGCTCCAGCGTGCGCTGCAGAGGCCCTCACCAGCCCTGCCAGGTAGGTGCCCCTGGGCTTGAGCAATCCCAAGTGACAAGCAAGCTCTTGCCTCCTGCGCAGAGTTACCAGCCCTGATTCAAGGCTTGCGTGTTCAGGGCACAAGGATGTATCTGGGTAAAGGGTGCGTTGTTTCTAGTGAGAGCCCTGGGCCTGGGCGAGAGCCTCTCGTGGGAGGAGAGATTGCTCCAAGCTGTGTCAGGGGAAGGGCTCGTGTGTGTTTGCACTTGCTCTGTCAGTTGAGGAGATCAGCTGAGAGAGAAGCTGCTCTGAATGTAACTTTCTTTCTTTTTTTTTTTTTTTTTAAAAACAAGTCATTTGCTTTATTGGCCAAGATCAGGTCAGTGTCGCACAGCTGTGGAAGAACACAGGGAAAGGCAGATTTTAGTACCTGCAAGGAAACCTCCGGGTCTCATTTCATAAGGCAGGGTTTACAGGCAGATCTCTTGTCCTGACTGAAAAGTAGAGCACAGCTCCCAGGAAGCAGAATAAAACCTCACTGTTTTGTAACAGCAATGTCCCATGAACGTGGCCTCACAGGGCAAGATACCCGCAAGCTGGCTCGCGGGAACCCAGCTCTGTTTGCAGCCTGCTGCCCAGAGAAGCCATGGCACTGTCTGTGTTGGCGCTCCTTGGGAGCGTCCCTGTAAGCGGAGGGGAGGGCAGTTTGGTTATTTCAAGCACGTCTCCGAGGTAGGGGAAAGCACCCATGGAGTGAGATTTATCAGCCGTTCCCAGAGATGCTGTGTCGCCATGACAGACGCCTTTGGTTCCTGGGTCCTGCACAGGTAGGATGGGGCCTGGATCTACCCCTTCGTGCTGGTCGTGCAGCCTCTGATCGGGGCCATCGCGGCAGGTGGGGACGGACCCACGGCGGGCGCTGGGGGCAGGTGGGAGAGGAGCGCGGAGGCTCAGCCGTCGGGCTGGGTTTGTCTCGTAGGCAACGCCGTGGTGGTGAAGCCGTCGGAGATCAGCGAGCACACGGCCCGGCTGCTAGCGGATCTCCTGCCCCAGTACATCGACCCAGTGAGTGCAGCTCGGTGGAGGGCCCGCTGGTTCCCTGCAGCGTCTGGCTCTTCCAGGGGAGCTGCTGCAACTCGGGGCAACCCTGGCGTGCTTCCGTTTGCCCCGCAGGAGTTGTATCCCGTGGTCACTGGAGGAGTAGCTGAGACAACAGAGCTGCTGACCCAGAGATTCGATCACATCCTCTACACCGGCAGCTCCGCGGTGGGCAAAATTGTGATGGCGGCGGCTGCCAAGCACCTGACGCCCGTCACCCTGGAGCTGGGTGGGAAGAGCCCCTGCTACATCGACAAGGACTGTGACCTGGCCGTCGCCTGCAGGTGAGGCCGTCACGGACCCTCCTCGGGTGCTCGGCCATGGGGCAGGAGCTGGGCGGGGGGGGGAGGGCACCTCTGGGCTTTTGCGGCAGGCCCGCAGTTCTCGCTGAGAGACCTTCTCCCTTGCCGCCCTAGGCGGATAACGTGGGGGAAGTACATGAACTGTGGGCAAACCTGCATTGCCCCCGACTACATCCTCTGCGACCCGTCCATCCAGGACAAGGTGGTGGAGAACATCAAGACGACTCTGCAGGTGAGCGTGAAGTTCCTTGGGCCTTGGCAGCTGCATCCGTTAGCATGGCACTGCGAGTACGCTTTGGCCGCGACTTCACGTAAGTGTCGTCCTGGAGCTGTAGGTGTTTGGAAGGTTCATGACGTCCTTTGCTTGTGCTCTGCCCTTTGGCAGGAGTTCTACGGGGAAGACGTGAAGAAGTCTCCGGATTACGAGAGGATCGTCAACAAGCGTCACTTCAGGAGAGTCCTGGCCCTGCTGGAAGGACAGAAGGTCGCTCACGGGGGCGAGGCTGACGAGGCCTCCTGCTTCATAGGTACCTATGGCTCGTGAAGGAAAAGGGGAGGTGGTGGGTGGCCGAGGGACCTTGTGCTGGCAGCAGGTGCCTTTTGGGGGCTGTGCGTGTCTGTGTTTTGCTTGCTCTGCGTTGAGCCCTGGCAGCGCCCAGGACTCGGTCCTGCGCTGGGCCGCGTCTGTCTGTGCTCGCTCAACGTCCTGCTGTTCTGTTTTCCCCAGCACCGACTATCCTCACTGATGTTTCCCCGGAGTCCAAGGTGATGGAGGAGGAAATCTTTGGACCCGTCCTTCCCATTGTGACGGTGAAGAGCGTGGACGAGGCCATTGAGTTCATCAACCGTCGGGAGAAGCCGCTCGCGCTGTACGTCTTCTCCAACAACAAGAAGGTGGGTCTGGGCTCTGCTGCCCAGCTGCAGCAGCTCTGCGTGCTTGGATGCTGGGTGTGGCTGGTCGCGGGCACGGCTCCCCGCTGCGCCCGTGTTGGCCCCTGTTTGTATCTGAATCCAGGTGTTTGGCTCCTGTGGGCCCCGAGTGTTCCCCAAGCTGCAGGAGGCTCCCGGGCACTCGCTGAAGGGCTCTGGGTTTGCACCACTGTGTGTCTTGGCCGTCCTTCCCACGCAGGTGAACGCTGGTACCGTGGCAGTCTCCTGCCCCCATTTCAAGGTCTATTGGGCCAGTTCAGGAATTTAGGTAATGGATTTGTGCTCACACAACAGCCCCAGGATTTTTTCTGGGAGGACTGAGGAATGCCTCAGGGTGTTTCGGTCCTCCTCCTGTAACCCGTCCCTGTGATAAGGAGTCCTTCAGTTTCGCTGCTATTCCAGTCAGCGCAGGGCTTGTGCTTGGAGTAATGTTAAATGGCACTCTAAGTGGACAACGCATAGTATGCTCCCCAAAGCACACTTTGGATCGAGGCCAGATGTTCAGCGTTTGTATTTCTGTGCACTCTTTTGAGCCCCTAACCCTCTCCCGCAAACCTTAAGCCAAGTAATGTTTCAAGGCCGTTTTTGCTGCTGGCAGCAGGCTGCCATGTCTGGCAGGTGTCACTAGATGGCATCTGCTGGAGACAGCTGGCGGAGCTCTGCTGAGCTGTGTTGCTGGGAGAGAGCTTCTCTGTAGGCACCTGTAATTCCTCATCCGGTGTCTGATAGGGCAGCGGACCTGCATGCTCCCTGTAAAATGCCACGGTGACATTGGCATGTCCTGACTCTCCCACTGTGCTGTGTCTTGTTTTGGGTTAGCTCATCAAAAGTATGACAGCGGAGACCTCCAGTGGTGGTGTGACAACCAACGCTGTCTTCATGCACAGTGTGATCCCAGGTCTGCCCTTTGGTGGTGTGGGTAAGTCACTGATCCACCAAGTATAGGTGATTTCAGTGTCCCAGAGGCTGTATCTGGTCTGGGTGTATTCATGAGCATTCAGCGATTTTAGGAACTTTTTCATTTGCACTTTCTCATTGAGGTTAGTCTTACCTGTGGGTTCCTTCAGGAAGTGGCCCATCAGTGCTTGGAGCGGTGTCAGTGCCAGCAGCGAGAGGAAAACCCTCTGGCATATCTGCATGTGCAGCTCTGGCTCTCCTGTGCCCAGGGTGTGGGATAAAGCCACCTGGAGACAAGCAGCTGGTTAAATTTCCATGGCCGCTTTGTCCTGCTCCTTAGAGAGGGTCCTGGCACTTCACTGTTGGCCTGGTGGCTGTGGTAGAAATAAGCAGGCTGTGGGGACTAGGCTGAGGTCTTGGGTGTTCGCTGATGGCAGGTCGCCAAAAGTCCTCGTTATGTCCCACTATTTGAAGAACTAGGCCCTATTTCCCCCCTCCCCTTCCCCAGTGTAAACTCATGGCAGGAGGAGGAGGGCTGGTCCTTGGGAGAAGAGCTGATGCCAGCACTAATTTCAGGGATAGATGCACGCAAACAGCCTGAGTTACCAGCAGCTGTTCGCAGCAGTGAGCAAGTCCTCCTTTATTCCTAGCTAGTTGTTAAACCTGCTCTTTGTGTCCCCACCTTTGGGGAAGCTCTTTGGGGAGCTGCTGCTGCTCTCATGTGTGCAAAGCACCGTGAACAAACTTTCCCTGTGTCCTCAGGGCTGTGAGCTCAAGCTTAAGAGATGTAACTGTCACTGTGCGCAAGAGGCTTGGCTAGCTGAGCCCGTGACGTGACCTGTTGGGGTTGTGTGTCTCAGGTAACAGCGGGATGGGTGCCTACCATGGCCGGCACAGCTTTGAGACCTTCTCCCACCGCCGAGCCTGCTTGATCAAGGACTTGAAGATGGAGGGGGCCAACAAACTCCGGTACCCGCCTAGCAGCCAGAAGAAGGTGGACTGGGCCAAGTTCTTCATCCTGAAGCGATTTAACAAGGGCCGAGTGGGACTGGTCATCTTGGCGCTGCTGGGGGTCGTGGCAGCTGTGGTGATAAAGGTGAGCCTTGGCTCTCGGCTTTCTACATGAGTGCATGTTCCCAGCTCCCTCTCCCAGGCTCGGCCAAGTCTCTGCCTCCATTGCCCCCCTCGCTAATGGCCCAAGTTGAGCTCTGCTCCCTCTCTGTGAGACTCGGTCTTGTCTCTGCCGTCCTAGATGTTGTCTCACTGAAGAGAGGGTGATCTGCAATGAGCAGCACACTGGTCCTGTAACCTGCCATTCACTTCCTGCGTTCCTACTTCTATACTTGATTTTGCTGCAATTTCTTTTCTTCTGAGACATCCTGTCCTCTGAAGAGGTAGAAGGAAATGAAACCAATCTAAAGCAGAGCAGCCCTGAGTAAGCAAAGGCTCAGGCTCCTGCTG